TCTCATCATCCATATATATACTCAAGACATTGTCCAGCTACGTGTATGTGATGTAGGAGAGAGCAAGAGTCAGAAATATAGTTTCCCCCAGTTTCCTCCCCCCCCTCCCCCTCCTCCTCCTCCTCCTGCTACTGTGCAAGGCCACAAAGGGTGATGGGCAATGCAGAGATACAGGGGAGCTGTGGTCTTAAAACTGCTGTCGATCCTTTCTCTGTGGGTTTTCCCCAGTGAACCCTGCTGAGCATACATGGTATGTGGGCTGCCTGGTACTTTGGCTTTGGAAAACACATATCCACTCCAAACCAACAAATGTCATCTTTGCCTTGGAGACCTTTCTTGTTTTGTTAATTCTGACCCTGAGGATATTTTTTTCCATTGATTTTTAGAGAGTGTTAGGGAGTAAGGGAGGGGGGAGGAGAGAGAGAGAGAGAGAGAGAGAGAGAGAGAGAGAGAGAGAGATCTGAGAGAGATAAATTAGTTGGTTACCTCATGCATGTGCCCTGAACTGGCCAGGGATTGAACCTGCACCCAAGTATATGCCCTTGACCAGGAATCAAACCCATGACCCTTCCATGCACAATCCAATGATCTAACCATGGAGCAACACTGGCGAGGGCAGCCTTGGATACTTTTTAATAAAAGAAATAAAATCATACTGATAACATTAAAGTTCCCTTTGCAGCCCTCCCCAATGCTGTTCTTCTCTCAGCATTCATTTCCCAGAGACACCCTTTACCATAAATTTGGTGCAGATTTTTCCTATACAATGAAATCATAAGATTTCCAAAAATTTTATTCACTCTTGGTTAAAATTAATGGGAAAATTATAGATCATAATGTTACTTGATAAGATATCTCGATAGAAAATAATGGTTTGGCATTAATTACTTTAAGACTTCAAATTACTGTTATGATTATAATTCTCTGCAAAGCTACAAAAGAGCTGTATCAGTTAAGCTCATGTTTGACAATAAGTGATATAAAAACTGATTAATAATTTAATTTCCCAGAAATATAATCTTTAACCTTTAGAATATTATGACCAAAAGCATAAAAGACTTACTTGTTGTAGGAAACTATATTTATTACTAATTTATGGAATATATTTGTTAAAAGAAAATTTTGCTCACCAGCATTGAAATTATTAAAACACACATACACACACACTAGTTTGCCAAAAATGTTCAGATTCTGAGTTTTGCCTACTTTCTGCTTACATGGCATACAGCTCACAAAAAAAAGATGTCTCTAAATGATTCAAATCCAAACACAGAAATGAAACATTGTCTTCCACCTTCCAGTCTATACATTTACTAACTATAAGCATGCCTAAGAACACAGTTTTATTTTTTGTTTAAATAATATTACAAAATCATATTTTGTACTTCCTTTCATGAAATTTGCTTTTATTTCTCAATACTATGTTTTCAAAATGTGTCATATTGAGACGTTGAAATATACATCATTTAAACTTTGGTATTGTAGTCACTCAGGTGAATGCAGTATATTTTACTTATCCAGGTCTCCACTGATGAACATTTAGGTTGTTTCAATCACTTGATAAAAATCAATCAAGTGATGCAGCAACATGTTGCAGAGCTCCATAAAAGAATGGAGAAGGTAAGTAACCTGTAACTAGACTTTAGGAGACAAGGCTTTGAGACCTCTCCATATGGAGGAGGACAATGACAAATCAACAGTGCGACAGGGCTCGGCAGTTAGAAAAATTCCTTTAAATGTCTACAGTCAATATGCATCTCAGCCAGTTGAGAAAATAATCTCCAAAACTACTTAGGATGTTTCATTTGTTTCTTTATTGAGAAAACATATTTTTACCCTCGAAGAATAAGAATTGTATATGGAAATAATGCAGCAAATCAAATAGATAATTTTACTATTTTTGTATTAAGGAATTTGTAAATATTTTCTTTGTTATTTTCTTAAATATATTTTTATCGATTTCGGATAGGAAGGGAGAGAGAGATAGAAACATCAATGATGAGAGGGAATCATTGATTGGCTGCCTCCTGCATGCCTCCTACTGGGGTTCGAGCCCACAACCCGAGCATGTGCTTTTGACTGGAATTGAACTTGGGACCCTTCAGTCCCCAGGCTGATGCTCTATCCCCTGAGCCAAACCAGCTCAGGCTATATATTTTGTATGTTAAATACTTATTATATATAAGAGAACCTGTCATATTAAATTGTCTAACAAATAAATTTGTGACTTTGATTTATTTTATGTATTTTCAATTTATTTATTTATTTATTTAGCATTTACAGTCAAATAAAGTTATGGTTGGGGTAGAACTCTACCTCCGACATGTGACCCAAATCTAATCAACACATCTGCCTTCCCTGACCATATTTCTCTCTGGTTGGATATTTGTTTCCTTCTTCTTTTTGTTTTTTAATCCAATTACAAATAATGCTATAATTAATTTCTTTGATTGCCTTTATGAATATTTCTACAAGATAGAGTCCCAGAAGTGGATAGTCTTGGCTCATATTGCTAATTTGGTTCCAAAGAAGTTACGCCAATTTCTATTCCAAACATGAGTATAGCCAAGGACCTATCTTATCAAATGTTTGCCAGTACTGAGCAGTCCCATTAAAAAAAAAACTTTGTTAATTTGATATATGAGAATGCTATGAGAATGCATGTTAATTTAATGTAATAATTTTTTATTTCTTTAATTATTAGTGAGGTTGAATTTTAAAATATAAGTTACTAGTCATTTTTTTGTGAATGAAGTTTCCAATCACTATCCACTCTCTCCTGGAGTCTTAGTGTTTTTCCTTATTGATTTCTGAATATTTTAATGTTTTTAACATGTTTATTGTATTTACTGTAATATTTTCCAGATTACTGCTTAAAATAGAAAGTTAAACATAAGAAACAGAAAAACTTGAAAAGCTACCTTACAAATAATGGCCATCTTTGATATTACTTGCTTGTCAAAGTTTTACAACAAAGCTTTGGTATTTGAAGATCAGAGAAAGGGACTAAGGATAATGCTAAACCAATAGAAACAAATACTTATTTTAGGAACATTGGATAATATCTAAAAATATTATTTCTTATAAAAGTTTTGTATATATTTCAGTAAATTTTTCAGCTATATTTAACAGTTATTAAGTCCTAAGTAAATATTAGGTACAATTTTAAGTTCTTTCATATGACATTTATAAATCTTATGCTCAACAACATCATTATTCCAATTTTATAGACAGGGAACAGATAGGAATCATGCCAAGTAGGTAGCAGTTCTTGTAACCCATATTTTTTCCATTGCACCACACTTAAAAGAAATGTAAAGCCCTTCCTTGTATGACACAAAATTGCAACTAAATAAAATCATACAATTACATAAAATTTTGACTTTTGAATCTTACCCGGCCAAAAGACAAATGAGTGGGCATATTTTTCAGTTCGTACACAGCAACCTGTCCATCACTGTCTCCCACTAGAAGGCAATCTGTTTGTTTAGCGAAGAGAACAGTTGTGAACTTGATTCCAGGGTTAGCAACATTCACAATTAGAGGATCCAAACTGTAATACAATATTTATTTGTAAATTCAGTTGTTGTTAATATGTTCTTTGTATATTCAGACTTAGAGAAGTCTGAAATATTTTTTGTGATTTTATGCAATAAAAATAAAAAGCTTAAGCATTTTCAAAATCAAAATAACTGATTCTTAATATTATATATCAGTATATAATCATTTGAGGAGATGAAAAATATAACCTATTTTCTTTTTATTGATTTTTATTGATTTTTAGAGAGTGAGAGACTGGGAGGGGTGAGAGAAAAACATTGATGTGGCATTGACATAGTGACTGCCTGCCTCTGGCATGTCCCACATGGGGGATGGAGCCACAACCCAGGCATGTGCCCTGACTGGGAATGGAACAGGCAACCTTTTGGTGTATGGGACTATATCCAACTAACTGAGCCACACTGGCCAGGGCAATATAACCTATTTTCATTCAAATATGTTTATAACCACATAAGTAATTAATATTAATATAGCATCCTGGCATACATCTTTATTCTTAAAGAACTCTCATAGTATAAACTATTACTTGTTTCAAAGTAAATACAGGGTGGGGTAAAAGTAGGTTTACAGTTGTGAATACAGAAAACACAGAGTTTATTCTTGTGTTATTCTTAATCATTGCATTGATTTCCATTTAACAACTGTAAATCTACTTTTGCCCCACCCTGTACAGGTCTCTGTAACCAATGTCAAAACTTTCAGGTATCATTTAGTTTGACCTACTTCTACTAGAAACATCCCCAAGAAAAATATTAACACTTACGTGCTGATGTGAAGGTCCCAAATCTCCACTCTGTTCTCATTTGCAGCTGCAAATATATAGGATGATTTCGGGGACCAGGCAACATCATAAACAACGTAAGTAGTTGGATAAAAACTCAAAAAAGGCTTGGTATTTTCCTGTTGCCATATAATAACGCCCCAATCTGCAGAACAGCTTAAGAACACATCATGACAAAACGGATTCCATGCTATTTTATACACTGGACCCTTAAATTAAAAAAATAAATTAAAACACATTGGTAAATAGTATTTAATATCTGATACTTTAAACTTCACCAACAAATTTAAAATGCTAAGATTTCTAGAAGATTTATCCACCATGCATTATTATGTGGGTATCATTTTAGCTGAAAGTAACGTCATAAATTGAATCTTCTCTAAATTATGCCATACAAAAACATTAAAAAATAGTTGATACAATACTCACTAAATATTAATACATATTATACATACTGACTTAAAAATATAAGGAGTGTTAAGAAAAAAGAAATGAAGAAAATATAGATGGAACAATTATAAAAGATATGCAGAACAGGGATATGCAAGAGACAATTTTACTTTGGGATCAGCATGTTATAAGCAAAGTTAGAAACAAATAAAACTTGTGACTTCCATAATGTGCAAGAAAAAACTGAGGATATTCTGGAAGCCAAAAACAATGCCCCACACATTATTGGTAGTTTCCATGCAAGCAAGCACTTATTTTGAGTTGATATTTTTAACTCTGAAGGAGTAAATGTATTGCATATTTAAAATACTACGCATAATGATATTATTGTTTCAGAAATATTTCAAGATACATTTTCCATACTTACTATAATTAAACTAACCTTATGTCCTCTGTAGGTATCTAGGTATTGTTCATTATATGAACAAGAACATTTGTGAATGTGACCTTCTTCAGTGCCAGCCAAATAGATATTTGTGTCCTACAACACAAAAAATCAAAATGCATTGGTTTTTGATACGTTAGTAAATGTGCTAAATAGAAGATTAGACCACTCAAGATATATTAAAATCAAGTCAAGAACCCAAACTAGAAATACTAAAGATAGTTGTCTGTTGTCTTTTTCTTTCTATCATGATTTTACAATAATTAAACTACTTGAAGAACTACTGTGCAAAGAAAATATAGATTTACTTTTTGCTGGAATAGAGGATATAACTTAACATCCTATCTAGAAACTACATGGACAAACATTGGCTTAAAATGAGGAAGAAACCTTTTAACACTTAGAGCTATCTCTCACTGGAACTAGCAGTCCAGGGAAATAATAAGTGTTCTTTCAATAGAACAAGTCAAGAAGAAGGCAGATGACTTAATAATAGCTATTTATGTATATAATGCTAAGGAAATGGTTCTTGCTGGGAATGAGAAATTGAACTAGATGGTGTCTAGTTCAAAAATCTATAACAAAATGTATGTATTAAATGAGGATTTTAAATGCATTTCCTAGCCCTAACTGGTTTGGCTCAGTGGAGAGAGCATTGGCCTGCGGGCTGAGGGGTCCCGGGTTCGATTCCAGTCAAAGGCATGTACCTTCGTTGTGGGTACATCCCCAGTGGGGGGTGTGCAGGAGGCAGCTAATCGATGTCTCTCTCTCATCGATGTTTCTCACTCTCTATCCCTCTCCTTGCCTCTCTGTAAAAAAAAATAAATCAATAAAAATATATTTTAAAATAAATAAAGAAAGAAAGAAATGCATTTCCTATAGTGAAATAAGTCATAGTTAGAAAGCCTGAAAGTAAGTGTTCTGTCTCCTAACTATGTGGGGTCAGAATCACCTGGGAGCATTTTAGAATTGCAGAATCTCGCCTTACCCCAGATCTGCTGAATCAGAATCTGCATTTTCACAAGATTTCCAAATAACTTATACGTACATTAACATTTCAGACACACTGTTCTAATGTGTACCAGTACTTAAGAATGCAAATACTGGTTCATGGGGCATATGCAATTTTAAATTACACAAAAAGTAAAATCCGCCCCCCTCCACCCAAGTACCATTATTAATTTACATTCAGCAGTAAATAAAAGTTCCCTTTGACCCACATTCTCTTCAACAGTTGGTCATATCAGAAATCTTAAATTTTGCCATTTCTTAAGTGTAAAATTATACCTAATGGTTTAAATTGCCATGTATGTGAATAGTAACACTTTTATTTCCTCTTCTGTTCACATCTCTGGACTATTTTACTAATAATCTATCTTTTTTATATTTATTTCTTTAAGTTTGTGTTCTATTACATATTCCTTATTTATTAAATATGTTGCAAATATCTTCTCCCAGTGTATGGCTTTTTATTTTCTTTGGTATCTTTTGGTAAATAGCAGCTCTCATTTTAGTGTAGCTGGTATTTATATATATAAATGTATATCTATTATATAATATATATATACATACACTAGAGTCCTGGTGCATGAAATTCGTGCACAGGGGTGGGGGTGTCCCTCAGCCCAGCCTGCACCCTCTCCAATCTGGGACCCCTTGGGGGATGTCTGACTGCCGGACATCCCTCTCGCAATCCTGGACTGCTGGCTCCTACCCACTCACCTGCCTGCCTGCCTGATTGCCCCTAACCGCTTCTGCCTGTTGGCCTGATCATCCCCAAGTGCCCTCCCCTGTCGGCCCAATTGCCCTCAATTGTCCTCCCCTGCCAGCCTGGTCACTCCTAATTGCCCTCCCCTGCCGGCCTCGTTGCACCCATCTGCCCTTCCATGCCACCCTGGTGACCCCTAATTGCCCTCCCCTCCTGGCCTGGTTGCCCCCAAATGCCCTCCTCTGCCGGCCTGATATTGCCCCAACTGTCCTTCCCTGCTGACCATCTTGTGGCGACGTTGCGCGAGGGCATCGTGCATGATGCCATCTAGGCTTTTATTATATAGGATGGTACTTTTTTGTGCCTTGTTTAAGAAGATTTTTTCTACTTTGAGGTCATAGAGATATTCTCCTACATTTTCTTCTAAAAGTGTTTTTGTGTATGATGGATGCAGTAAGGATCTAATTCCATCTGCAGTAAACTTACAGCTTCCATTATACTCCATCACACTTAATAGTAAAAGACTGAATGCTGTTTCCCTAAGATAAGGAACTAGACAGGGATGTCTGTTTTCACCATTTCCATTCCCACTTGTGCTAGAGGTTCTAATGAATGCAATCAGGCAATAAAAAGAAATAAAAGGTAACCAGATTAAAAAGGAAGAAGTAAAAGCAAGCATGTCAAACTCATGGCCGGCGGGCCACATATGGCCCACAACAAATATTTTTGTAGCCCAGCTAATATAACGGTTTGTAAGAAACATTTTAATAAAAATTTTGTAATTTAATTTTTACAATATTCTGTTATACATAATTATTAACTAACTACAACGTTCACTAATGACTAGATTACTATAATAGTGTTGCATCCATTTCCCTTACACGCCTTACGCACAGGCGCACCATTTCTCTCCACTAATACTAGCAGCTGATATTTTAGCAGCCGACTGCCACGTCATTAGTCTTGGACTGCCTTGTTTGGTGTGCACAACAGGAAATATTTCACTTTCGGAGAACAAGAAAAATAGGTTTATTTGCATTACGCTTATTAATTTGTGCAGTTATTCAGAGTCTGGCAAGTTAATGTTCAAGAAAAAATATTAATGTTTATTAAAATGTTCTATTGTGTTATGTTAACGATTACTCATTTATTTCAGCCCTTTGTATTCAGCATGTCTCGAAATAAACCTACGTTTCAATGAAAATGGAAGCTGTTGTTTTTTTGCAGCCCACATGAACTTCGACCTTGTTTATTTGGCCCGTGTTAGCCTTTGAGTTTGACACGCTTTATAGACTACATGATCATCTTGAATTCCTCCCACCAAGGAACATTTCTAGGACACCAGACTAGGCTTCTCAGCCCAGCACGATGGACATTTTCGGCCAGCTAATTCTTTGTTTGGGGGTGGGAGATGGCGATGGTGCTTGCACGATGCCTTTATAGGATGTTTCCCCGCATCCTTCGACTTTGTTCACTAAACGGCAATAGCATTCCTCCCCACGCCCCACCTCCTCCAGCTGTAAGAACCAAAAATGTGTTACGACATTGTGAAAAGTCTCCTGGTGGGAAAATACCCACCGGCCTGCCCACGCTGAGAACCACTGTTATAGAGTTAGGTGAAAAGTAGATTACAGGAATTTGAGAATGAAGGCAGTTAGAATAAGCTAGCACTGTTATAAAAGTGAAACATGACAAAGGCCTGAGCTACATTAACAAGGAGTAAGCGTGGGCTGGAAGGAGTGATGCAGTAAGGCTTCACTATCATTTGGATGCTAGGATAGAACAAAGTAGGAGCTCAAGTTTTGTTTGCATAATTAGGTAGACAACGGTGACACTAAAGAGATGACCATATTACATATCAGAAAACATTAGGATATGTTTTCGTAGAAGTGGGTCAGAATGGCTGAATTTTCTGACTCCAAAGAACCTCCAGATAGAAAGAATTTTAAAAAGTAGAAGTTCATTAACTGTGCTTCGATTTGATTCTGGGCTTGATCAGAAGGAACTTAACACATTGTGGGCAGATCACGAGCATTCTCCTGTTTCATATTACACAGTATTTTACATAATGTTAAAGGCATGCCTTAAAATTAAATACCCATTACATTTTGAAGTTATGTATTATATATTCTTACAAGCTATTATCTTTTTAAAGTCTGAGACTCTGTAAAACCTTTTTGTGCTCGTTCAATAGAAACTTGTCTGGCCACTGGGTAAAGCTGGCAACAAAACTACTGGTGCGCAATGTGTTAAGTAGTCTTCCTGATGCCTAGCATCGTAAGAGCAACCCCTCACATGAAGGATCTAGAGGACGATATGGTACATTTGGTTTCTATTGGAACAATAGAGCAGCAGAGCAGACAAGAAGGTCAAGGAGCGGCACTCATTATACATGCAGTTGTAAAGAGGATCTTGCCATAGTTCCTCAGAAATATAGACCTTTTCTCTGGAAAGAAGATAAAGACAGAGTATAGTCAACTGGAATGTGCCATACCACCTTTGGTTGACAGCTATGTTTGTTACTTTCTTACTTACAAGGCACAATATTAGTTAACATGCTAACTTTTTGTCTTGCTTTATATCTTAATATACTTCCATTCTTGGAAGTTGTTATATGCAATAGTAAATCATGGATTGAAATAATTTACCTTGGGATGAAAAGCAAAGCACATCCCAGGAGCTTGACGAGATATCAAAGCTTCACCTTTTTTTTCCTTTTCCCCTCCTCTTCTGCTGATGATGGAAGTAGTTCGCTTCAAACGCATCAAATCTTTATTTAAAGAAAAAATACAGTACATTTCTTAGGTCCCCCAAGGGTTTCAAATCATGAGATGGACAGATTTTTATTTCCTTCATGGGGAGATATTAGTGTGATTTCTCCTTTTGATCTGTTTTTTCATGGCTCTGAAAATATAAGGTTTTAAGTGCTTTCCCTGGGACCAATTTGGGGTTTTTAGTAGTTAGAGGAAGCTAGGATGGTGAGTGGAGCAAGTACATACCAGGGGAAGAAAATCAATTGCCATATGATTTAATACATATATGCTGTTTCTGCTACATTGGTGCCATAATTCCAAGCAATTACATAGACATCTGAATTAATTCTTAGAATGAGGCAGGGAAGAGATAAATAAATGGAAAAAAGTAATGGGAGACAATAGGGGAAAAGGTTTCCTGCCTTAGAAAACTAAGTTTGCAAATATAATAGTATTGTTTGAGAGTGTTAACTAGTTTCCACTGAAATCCTAAACTGTCCCCAAACCAGTTTATTAAAATTATTTCAGAGTGGTAAAAAAAAAGAAAAAATATATCTTATTTATCACATGAAAAAGTATTGTAGATATAATATGTCCCTTCTGCAAATAATGATTTCTGCCATCTTCTGCATGTGATTAGGTTAAAATTAGCAAATACCCAAACTAGATGCTTATAAAAAAAAATGACCAAGCCCAGTTTTATTTTCTTATTTAGAAAAACCAAAATTTTTCACCTCTTATACATGGTTTACTAGGAATTTTTAATTCAGCCTATAACAAGAGAAAGATAACTTGATATCTATTTATTAGTAGTATTTTTTTTTTTACCATAACAGTCCAGTCCTTTGCGTATAATCCATTTGGTGATTCTTCCGTCTGCTGATATAGAAACTAGTATTTCTCTCTTGTCATCACCTGTTGTTCCTCGATCTTGTTCTATCCACTGTAGTTGCCATATAGGTTCCAAATGTTTTTGAGGTGATTCACTGAAACAGAGAAAAGTACTAAATATATACTCATTATAAGAATTTTTTTAAAAAAAAAGACTTAGAGGGAGAAACCAAGATGGTGGCATAGGTAAACACCGGAGTTTGCTGTCTCGAACACCACTTCAAAAATACAACTAAAAGATGGAACGGACATCATCCAGAGCCACAGGAAGGCTGGCTGAGTGGAAGTTCTACAACTAGAAGGAAAGAGAAAAGCA